CTCCATTGTATTTGTCCTGAAACATAATAAGATTCAAATCATGTCCAGTGGACTCAGTGGACTCAGGAAACCTGTCTTCCTTCCTTGAAATAAACCTGAGTATTAGTGCCACACAAAATGAAACACACCCAGCACTTCACACTTTCCTAGTTACTATCAGGCAAACATACACTTCCTCAATGAACCTAATAAATCTATAACTCTATTAAGAGAAAGAAACCAAACATCTAGTTCTACTGATGCTATGAAGGTGGGTGTCCATCTTAATATGGAGTGATGATTTTTTAAATTTTCTTTTCACTTTGGGGATTTTAGTGGGAGTAAACCTATATACACACATACACACACGTGCATGAACACAAAACGGCAATTCAACATATTTCAAAGAAAGAGAAAATGGCTCCACAGGGAATTGAATGTTACTTTTCTCTCTTTTCATCTAAAAATCTGATTTAGTGAATGGAAGCTCAGTTGTTTATATCAACAGAATTGTTTGCCATAGTTGGGTGAAATGAATAAAACTACTGGAAAATTAGGGATTATTTGAGAGCCTGAACTTTCAGCATTGTAATCGGTTTTTCTTTTTACACTGAATTCAATATCAATGAATTTTATTTTATATCAGCATGATGACTTTAATTACTAATCACGGTAAATATTATCAATAGGTCAAACCCTACTCATTTCACCATACTTGTCACACTACACCAGATGGGAATATGGACAGCAAAACAAAATTTATTCATTGTATTGTAAATTATCCAGAGTTGGAAACTTTGAAAATGTGAAAGCTGACTGTCTCTGAAAATTGATCATGCTTACAAATGGTGAAAATTGTATATACTACTATAAATGTGTTGTATTAATATATCTTATTAATATATCTGTGTCAATAGATTTATCTATTACAGATCTATACTTTAATAATAAAAAGGAAATATTTATTATGCTTAATAATAAAGAAAACAGCAACAACAAAAAAGTCAGTTTAATTTCTAAATATGTGGTCACTCTTTAAAAAAAAAGTTTGCAGCAGCCTTTAAAGTAAGACTTTTTTTTTTTTTTCTTTTCTTGTGGAGGAGCAGGGCTGCAGTGCTTTGCTAGATGATCCCTGCCAGAATTTTCATCTAAGGATGCTGAAGAGGTTTTTGCCTGGTCATCAGCTGTTACATCTAAATCAGACAGGACTAATGAATAAGGGCTTTCAGCAACTGGAGCTCAAAGTATGCAGTATTAACAGACTAAAGTGTTGTTTTGTTTTAATACAAGAATTGAATTCTCTTAATGAATGTATGTACAGCTGGCTTATTTATCCATTTAGCTGAACAGAAACCTTGCTACAGATACAGCTTCTCTGTGTAGTAATGTAATACATGTAATGGCACAATGAAGAAGGTAAAAAATTATTTCAGACTAACATATGCTCACAGCTCTGTAAAATCACAAATCTATTCCTGCAATTTTCACATACTTCTGTAACTTGGAAGTAACAGAAATTACTACATCTCATACTCCAGCCCCACATTATTTTTTTTTTTTTGTAATCTATATAGATAGGAAGATAGGAAGCTGGTTCTTCCACTCCTGTTTCCTTGCTCTTTGCAAAACTCCCTAGAACTTCCTGATCTTCAGAAAAGGAGGACATATCCGTTTAGTGTTTGCCCTTATTTCTTGGCCATCATCAAAGACTAGAATGAAAACTAATAGTCTTCAAATATTTTCAGGGAGCAACTGGTGGTCAGCCTGCTACAAACCTTTTTTCCTGATATACTTCCAGATATAGAAGATATATATAAGACAGATATGCCCTTTTCAGTTTCTTAGTAGTCCAATGAAGAAGGTAAGCCTGAGGTGGAAGTGGAGAGAGTAGCAAAATTGAAAAGGTAGAGAGAGGAGAAAAGTGTAAACTTTCATATAAAGTATTCTAAATATCAGGACTTATATCTAGATATCATCCCATTCTCTCATCGTCATTAGGAACTGGTCTCTGACAAGCAAGGGAAATTAGTTAATAACCTATTTGTGCTACAATATTTCTCAGTGAAATATGAACAATAATTAGTGATGGGTCAAAAACAACAAATCACAATAGCTAACCACATATTTAAGATGATTTACAAAGACAAATTTTCTTGCTACCCACACATTACAAGTTAGTGGGAGAAGCAATCAGTATGACAAAATCACAAGTTTTCAATTCCATCCCTGCCCTGCTTAATCCCCTTTAAGAGAAGGAATGAAACAACAACAACAAAAAAAGTTTAAGTGTACCTGTGCAGCTGCTGCTTACTCCTTGAATTCTAAATTCTGAGAGAATCATGTTCATTACTGAAATTGTCACACATTATCTCTTAGTACGTCAAGGTAATTTATGAAAAAGAGCTAACAGAGCAAGCAATGAACTTATCAAAACTGTTTTTTTTTTTTTTTTTTTTTAATTAACTCCTAAGCCCCTCCCCCCCCTTTTTTTTCTCCAAGCTTTAATTTCCTTTTAAAAGTAAAACACTAAAATTTTTATAGTAACAGTTGTAAAGATTTCTACCTTAGCATAAGATTTTCAGAGGAAAGGGATTCAGCTGACACATTTATGTATTTATTTATGCTCTAGCTTGGCTTAGACTTCATATGTACTTAGTGTTAAAAAAAACACATGCTGGGAATTCACTGTAACTGTATATAGACTTTGATATACATATACATGTCTCATTGTATATTGTAATTCATATGTATTTATTAACTATTAATATATTTGCCCCCTTTTGCACACCTAGTTAATGTCCACATGATAATGTTGATATTCACAAAATAGAAAGATAGTCCTTTTTTCCATGTTTTGGTTTAGTATTGCTTTTGAGATTAAACTTTCACCATATTCTACATGTATGCATATCCCATTCGAATAGAGGGTGTATACAAATGTGGCAACGCTCAGTTCCATCTGATAGTTGAAAAATATGTAAATTAAGCATAATGAAGGTCTGTTTATAACAGAAAACATATCATCATTCTGTCCATACTTTGTAGTTTCCTTTGCATTGAACCAAATCCTTTCCTTCATTTCCATTTTATTCTACCTCCAGGAAATTTACATGATCATTTTTTATACACTGTGAGGAAGAGAAATATGTTTGCTTTCTTGTTCTAGGTAAATTCTATTATTATATTTATTTATTTATTTATTTTCATCTGTTTTGAATATAGCATAGCTCTTTGGCATGTTAGAATTAGCACTACTCTTTAAAGGCTAAGTACATCCTTGATAATTTTAAAACTGCTTCTTTTGTATATGAAAAAGTAATGAAGATCAGCAGAGTTTGCATGCACCACAGGCATTAGTTCAAGCTCTTACTTGGGAACTCTAGCTTGAAAACGAAGGCAGACAGAAATAAAATTGATGTGGGTGACAATTGAAAAATTTTTTGTCACCCTCATTATACTCCTAGTTTGACAGCTTGCCCATGGGCTTACAGTCTTCTCTAGCTGCTTAGCTAATCAGCTGCAGGACTAAAACTTCATAGCATTGACAGAATATGCTCCTTCTTAGGTCCCAGAATGCATCAAATATGAGATTACACTTGGTTTCTGACTTTAGAAAGACTTGTGGAAATGTACTGTAGAATGAAAAGCAAAAGAAATCAGATAACGATGAAGAGATGTTAGCAGGAAATGGATCACTCAGAGTTTAGGTTTTTCCATCTAGCTATTTTCTCCTGCAGGTTGCAGGGTTCTTATATTAGAGGTTTATATATCTTCAAAAATAACAAGAAAGGAAACAGCCATCAGTGAAGGTACAGACAGCCAAATACCATCCTCCTCAAAAAAAAAGACCAGCCACCGGAACAGGAGAGTTGGTCACATCACTGGAAAAAAATGTCTTTTACATCTTAATAGAAGAGCATGAGTCTGATGGGAGACTCAGCTGTGCTACAAGAAAAAGAATCATGGCCTATTCAGAGGTATGGAGTATTACGTTATAAATGGTTCAGAGCTCTGAGAACCATACTGCTGCACTTGATGATATGTTCTTATCACAAATAGTGATACATAGTGAAACAGTAAGACTGTGGGGTGCATACCGGTGAAATGGCCCATAATGCAGACGGCAAAGAAAGCTGGAGCAAGTTCCTCTCTTCATATCTAAGAAGTGGTATAATGTGATGACATTTCATTACAATTGAGGAAATTGTTTGCTCCTTAATGTGCAGTTTTAAGCTAGAAATACAGGAGATGCATATTACTGGGATGTCGGTGACTAAGCTTTGTAATTCACAAAATTAACATTATGATGTTTAATGACTCACACAGACAAATGGACGAAATACTGAATTTAATCTCTAAGGTATTTTAGTGGTCTTAACCACATCACAAATTAAAATCATTCCACTATTACAAGTGATCCAAAACCATTAAATATATATACATTTACAGTCCTTATATTATACCACTATAATAGTGTCCACTCCAGGCATTATTTCAATTATTTCTGGAGACAGAGTTGTTTATAAAGTTCCAGTCCCCTTTCCTGGGCTGGGACACATCCCACTAGACCAGGTTTCTCAAAGCCCCATCCAACCTGGCCTTCATATATGATTCTATGATTCTATGATTCGAAATAGTGTTCAGTTGGTGTCTTAGTTCATTGTGTCTACTCATTTAGTTGCTATTCACTAGACTTAAATATTGTTACACCATACATTTTGTTCTACAGTCTAAGTGGGAGCCTCTGAAGATTCTTTTGACTTATGGTAGAATATTTCGAGCCAAAGCAGCACTTCCTAAGTTTCTTTCACAATATTCATTCAAGGAGCCTGCCAAGCTTTTACGGAGAGAATTAGTGGTATTTATTCCAGCTTTTTCAAATAAAATCACAAATACAGAGAGCAGAACTGGAGGCTTGAGCTGTCATCTACACTAGCTGTTGTAGCAAGACAGGAATTTTTATGGATTTGTAAACAGACAAAATAGTCAAGAGTATACATGCTGACCTTTTGCTGTTACAGATGGCTGGAACATTGCTAAGCTTGAAGTTGAAAGTTGAAAGAAGTTGAAACCTGTAGTTTGTTCACTATTATTTTTCTCGGAAAGTACCAAGAGTGGAGTTGTTAGAAGATCTTTAGAGCATTTTCTTTTTTCCAATCAAGAGGTAAGGTCAACTTTATTATCCTCATGGACCTAATTTTCATCAGGGTACAATAAGAACTTGTTCTAAGATTTGGCTCAGTGTACGAATATTCAACTGTTTCAGCTGGAAATGTAGATAAATATGCTGGATTCTATTTCCTGATTTGACTGGGTTCTTCTTCTTCTTTTTTTTTTTTTTTTTTTTATTGGCATTCAAATCTCAAGGTGTGCTCTACAATTCTTAAAATCACTAGTATGACTTGAGCCTTTACTTTCCCCTTTCTGGTCAGAGGTCCTCCCTGGGGACAGGTTTCTCTGGCTGGTGGTGCACTTTTCTTTTTGCATTTTCTTCTTTCAGTTAGATATGAACAAGTTAGGGTCTCAAAAAGGGAAATCCTGTGTATTGGTATCTATTCATTTTTGTTTGATGTGTGCTTCTGAGCCTAATGCAGGATGGTGCAGACTGATCTGTTACCACAGTGTGTAAGGGCATCTGCTTCTGGTCTGAATTATGACCTGAACTCAAAGGCTGGGTCAGTCTTTTACTGCTTAGCCACAGAGTGCTGTCCTACTGAAACTAGGAAATATTCTTGTGGAATTTAGCTTAAGATGGGAATAAGGAGAAGACAAAGATCTCAACTAACTGGCTCAATGTTGACAGAAAGTTAGGAATTTTCGAATTGTCTGTTAGAAGGGTTGTAAGTTTCATTTCCATTCCATCACTGAACTTTGTTTACTCAATCAAATGGATTTCAGTTCAAAAGGAAGTGATATAATGCCAAACAACCATGATAAAGTGTTCAGAGTTTGCAGGTAGTACATATACACCAAACAGGTTTTACATTCTATAGTCAGTAGAAGACATCAAGCCAGCAGAAGTACTAAATATTTAATAATACTAGGAAAAAAAAATCCAAATGACAAAGTAGTGCTAAAATGTGGAAAAATGTCCCAGGAAAACAATTCTGTAATGCAAAAACTACACCAGATATGATTGGCAAAGATAATAAAAACTCAGAGACTGTTTGTGAAGGTCTTTTATACTGGATAGTAAAAACTGACGTTGCCGAGATACAGAGAGAAGACCAAGAAAAATGTAAGTAGCACAGCCCTTACCAAGTGCTCAGTCTGAAGATGAAAAAGCCAGGAATGCTTGGAATCTGCAAATTTCAGAAGTGGTGATAGTGCTAGTAAGCCAAAAGCTTTGCTCATCTCTCTTTCTGCTAGTAATATGTTGCTAATAGAAAATAATCTTTAATTTATCCCAGGTTTTGTGACTTACTGATGAATTGTGATTTTAATTGTTAAATAATACTATGAAACTACCATCAGTTCCACATATAAAACTACACAAATTAATGAGTTTTGATAAAAACGGAAGTGTAGAAAATGACAGAAAACAGATAACTAGTAGACAATAAACACATATATAAGAACTGAAGGGATTGCTGGGTTGCATGTTGCTTAATTAAAAACCAATTACATGTAGAACAATTAAATCAGCAAAACCAACTGTTGTCACTCAGGTTTGGCAGAAGTCTTCTTCTAATATTGTTTTCATTAACACATGAAGAATAAATGTCACATGGTTACATTTACAAATATATAACATTTCTACATAAAATTGTGTCATCCATTTAAAATATTTAGAGGGTTATATTGGTGTTAGGTGGATAGTTGGACTAAATGATCTTCGAAGTTTTTTCCAACCTTAATGATTCTGTGATTCTATGATCTTTGCTGTAAAATGCAAAAGAAAACAAGCAACAAACAAACAAACAAAAAAACAAGACACAAAACCGCTAGAGCATTGACAGACACTTCTCTGCAGCATCGTATCCTAGCTGTTCATATTACAACTGAATTATGTAATGGTTGCAAGCTTAGAATATTAACATAACTATATGACTTATCAAGGAAAGAATCGTAGCAATACAAGCTATGGGGAAAGGAATACGCAGGTCTCTGGGTACTTTGCTAATCACAAATAGGAAAGTTCTGTCAGACCTTTCATTATTACAGTGAAAGGCTGAACTTAGGAAGCTCAAAATACCTAAAACTGAAGCAACAGTCCCATTAAAAATATACTATATATATCTCTCTATAAAAATATATATAATATATGTATATACATATATGGGTGTTATCATAATAAAATAACTGTATTTAAAACAAGTTGCTAAGAAAATGTTCAGAGGATGACAGATGAAAAGAAAGTATTGTAACATCAAAAAGGATAGAAATCTGTGAAGACAGAGTAGATTATTGTCCAAAATATTTTACAAATTATACTCATGAATCATTTTCTTCACTTGTGGAAGTCACTCACAAAACATAACCCCTTCAGCAGTGCACTGGCTTGAGTCATTTCCTCCCTGACAGAAAAGGCAGTTTCACTCCAGAGGATCAGGTGGAGTTACAGTGTAGTGCAGAATTTAGGAAAAGGCAAAGAAGTATTGGCACCAATCTCCACAGTTCAGTATTACAGTACTTGCTATCTGTCTTGGCATCCCTGGAAAAGGTGAATCAGAGCTATTCTGTACTACAGCTCTCCTTCTACACAGTCCTTCTGCCATCAAAGGAATCAGATGTGGGAAATATCCCCTTATGGAAGTGTAGGCAGAAATTCCACACAGTAAAGTAAGGCACAAGAGTGAAGATCACAAGAAACAACGATACATACTCTGAGGATTTAAAAAGGTGTGATAGGCACCAGGGCTGGCTGCAGAGATAGGACAGAACATGTGCAATATAGCATTGTTATGCTGCTATTCAGAACAGTCAGGAGAAGGGCATACATTGTTTTAATTTTTGGGAATTTAAATAGTGAAGCATAATAGTTATATAATGGAAGAGAAAAGGGAGAAAAAATCATTAATAACATCCTATTAACATGATGAACATGACATTTTTATATGATTTACTTTTTTTAATAGTTCAAAATAATAATAGAAAAGTGTCATAAACAGTTACCTCTCTGTACTGCATGGTACGAGTCCATGGCAAATTCAAATTTCATTATTTCCATTTTAATTAAAAAGAAAAAAAAGTAAGATTGTGAGATTGCAACTAATTTTGCTAGAACTGTGTTTGTCTACAACCTTTTTTCTACAGTGGATCTCCCAGAAGAAAAAAAAAATATATGCTAATTTCATTGGTTAATAACTGTATGTCTAAGCTGACACATAGACTCCTTCAGTACAGGTTTTGTGTTCACCACAAAAAGGAGGCACAGGGCTCTCAACGTGTATCTCAGTATTTGTGTTATCAGAGATTAATCAGAGATTAATAGTCTCCTGAGAAGAATAAAGTGGTGGATTAAAGTTGTTTAGAAAGTTTGGGTAACCTGATTTAACCCAAAAAACATTGTCCAGACCAGTATTAGAGATTGCAGACAATAATCAGAGTACAGTAGCTTCTTTGAAGAAGGTGCAAAGAAGTGGATTTTGGTTTACAGTCCAATATGTATAAGTATTTGACAGTCACCATTACATCTCACAGATCTACACTTAACTGGTAAATGAGTGATCACAACTTCACTAGTGGCTATTGTTTGATATAGTACCAAGCAGATTCAAAGAGGTCTACAATCTCATTGTGTTACCCCGGTGTATGTTTCTGTATACTATGCTATTCTATCCAGCAATTATAACTGTGCTTCCTGACTAACCCACAATTTCAATTTCACTCACCTAGACCTAATTTCATCATATGGTGCTTTATTGCTATCTTTGTACACGTGTTCCTCCAAACAAACAAACGTATACTATAATGAAGCACACATGTGACCATACTCAGATTAGAATTTTACGTAAAGTTTTTCCTACACATATAATTAGTCAGACAAATATTTACAGCACTGTGAAAACATCCTTGTCAGTTTCAGACAAAAGCAAAAATATGTGGAGGAAAGAATGAAGTAGCTCGTAAGTTGATATCTCTTATTACTAAGGAAAGCATGTAAGTGTGGGATTTGATGAAATCTACTAACACTTTAAGTACATCTTATTTGCTAGGGAGCTTCTTGAGTACTATGATGAGGGCTACCAAATAACCTAATATAATTTCAGTCCTCAAGCATCCTGTGTGTTTTCTGTGTCGTAGTGAAAGAAAAAGATAGCCTCTGTTGCTGGAATGTGAGGAGCATTTTGGACTGCAGCTAAAACAAATTACCCAGTCCTCTGATCAGGCACGTGGATTCCTGGATGACAAAGAGCAGGCTAGATTTTCAAAGAAACAGACCTGCCAGTTAGCACTCTAACAGCAACCTCTGCAGGCAGATCTGCAGTGTGGTCAAAGAGGAGATCACAAAATGTGACATGAACAAATTATATTTTTTTCCTTTTTCTTTGAACATAGAGTTTGCAACACCGCACTCTTGCAAATGATTTTTCATTTACACACCCCTAAAAGGGAGTGAAATTCAGGAAATGTCCATGTTGTGCTCTTTGTGGCCCTCAACTTAATGCTTAGTAAAAATGCCACTGTTGGCACTGGGTGAAAACAGTATTGATTTTTATAAGTCCTGTGTGTCTTATAAGACTTTCAACTGCAGTGTTATACATTCAGGTGGACTGCAGATCACTTTTGTGTTTGTTTTCAAAACTCAAAGACCCACTAGAAAGTAATGCTATTCATTGTTCTGGCTTAAATGTGAATAAACTAAGGCATCAAGTGTAACGTATCAAGCTTCATTTTTTTTTTTTAATTATTATTATTATTTTTTAATGAGGAAGTACTAAATGGAAACCCTTGCTCTTACATGCAGATTAGCACCTGAAAGCAAAGATGTTACATTTTGCCTATACTAACGACCACTCTGATAGCACTCAGTTGACGGCTATAGTAAGGGTTATATTTTTCACGTACGGGAAACTGAAAGTAGATAATATCCACATTTTCTCTTAGCAATTCAAATTCCGGCTGTTAAGCTGAAGTGGCTGTGCTTATTTTTCAATAAACTGTTCTTAGCACTTAATGTCAAGAAGAATTGTAATTGTGGTACAACACCGAGATACTGAT